ATATATATATATATATATATATATATATATATATATATATATATATATATATATAACTGTAACTCAGCCAAATATAAAGTTATACACATTTTTCATGCTTGTTTTGGGATGTACCCTCTTATTTGTCTCCAACTCCATTAGCATTTTTGTCTAATGACTTACTAATGGTTTTATAAAGGTGCCAAGATGTTGGGTGGTTAGCTTCGTTACTAATGAAAAGAGTTGTTTGTCAAAGAGAGACTGATTTTTTTCATCCCCTAACTAGACATTCTCCTCTTGTCACAAACAACTTGTGACAATTTGCTTCATTTCACAAACCTGCACAAGATGTGCTCTCACTGAATGCAGCTTTATGCAGCCCCCTCCAAAAATCAAAAATAAAAACAAACTCGTCGTGTAACTTATGACCAATTAGATCACTCACTGCTCGGACCGGGCTGGGCTGCATATTTCTTGTATTCTTTGCTTTTTCCTGATGCTGACCTGTCATTTCTGTTTCCTGTCCATTTCATCTGTTGGCCCATTTTCTGTTCTTTACATCCATGTGTGTGTGTGTGTGTGTGTGTGTGTGTGGTGGCCTGGTTGTTTCTTTGTGGCACTTTCATTGGCGTCTGCAATACCCTAGATGCGTTTGCACCCTCCCCAGGAGATGGTCCTGCCGCTGTGGTCACGGGTCCTGCTGCTGATGCGTTTGGTGGTTCTGGTGGGTGGTTTTTATTTCCTGAGTGTGTGAAAACATGAGAAGAATTTGAGAATTCTTGCTTTTATTATGGTAAAGCAGCTTCTGCTTCAAGAGAGACAGTAGACCAGACATGTGTCCAAGGCCTACTGTCTCACCCCAAATCCTGCTAACACCCCAATCATGAATCCCCTCCTCCTTCATCGTATTGACCCTTTATTCACTAGGGGAATACTCTAGTACAACATACCATGCAGCTTTTAGCTAATTCTCACACAACTGAGTGTTATCTGTTTCCCAGTCACCGCCTTTGACAATAATAGGTGATGAACAAACCAATTATTGCTGATCCTTTTTGTTTTTCTTATACTTTCTGAACTCCATTAGGTTGCTCTCTTTGACCTTCTGTAGTTTTTAAACCAACTATAGCTAGAAAATTTTAAAATAATGATTTGCTGAACATCTTGGTGACAGTGTGCCTGTTACATTTTTTATATTTATTAACAAATTTTGACATTAACTTTATGCTGCCCCCATCCATGATTTCCAGATAAATAACATTATTAATAGTGTTAAAAACAAAATTATCACTGAACTGAATATTGTCGAACCTTTGAGAAATCAAGACAAAATTATGGTGATTTTGGTGAATTCGTTACTTGTCCTGTGTCACTTTCATCAGGCCAAAAGTATGAACTTCTTGGACTTAGCTTTTTGATCTGTTATCCTGAACTGTTTGTCTATCCTGGACTGTGTTTGCAGATGACATTGTGATCTGTGGTGAGAACAGGTGGAAGAGAACTTGGAGAGGTGGAGGTATGCACTTGAAAGAAGAGGAATGAAAGTCAGCCGTAGTAAGACAGAGTCCATGTGTGTGAATGAGAGGGAGGCTGGTGGAACAGTGAGGCTACAAGGAGCAGAGGTCACAAAGGTGCAGGACTTCAAGCACTTGGGGTCCACTGTTCAGGAAAATATGGAGTGTGATAAAGAGGTGAAGAAGAGAGTCCAAGCAGGGTGGAGTGGATGGAGAAAAGTTTCAGGAGTGATTTGTGAAAAAAGGGTGTCAGCAAAGGTCAAAGGAAAAGTTTACAAGACACTGGTGAGACCAGATATGTTGTATGGTCTGGAGACAGAGACATGGACAAAAAGACAGGAGACAGAACTGGAAGTGGCAGAAATGAAGATGTTGAGGTTCTCCTTAGGAGTGACAAGGATGATTAGGAATAAGATCATCAGAAGTACAGCACAGGTTGAACAACTGGGAGATAAAGTTAGAGAGACCAGACTGAGATGGTTTGGACATTTCCAGAGGAGGGACAGTGGGTATATTGGTAGAAGGATGTTGGAAATGCAGCTGCCAGGAAAAAGACAAGGAGGAGATATATGGATGCAGTTAGAGAGGACATGGAGGTAGTTGAAGTGAGGACAGAGGATGCAGAGGACAGAGTGAGATGGAGGAGGATGACTCACTGTGGCGACCCCTGACAAATGACATCTTGCAGTTTACATGCCTGAAATATACCCTCACCAGACACATTTATAAAGCACAACTTGCTTCTACTATGTTGGACCCCCTTTGGTCTTAAGAACTGCCCTCATCCTTGATGGCATTCATTCATCAATAAAGTGGACGGTGAGTGTCTGAGTCAGGTTTAATCTAGTTTGTTTAGCCTTTATAATACATATTTTTTAACACATTTAGCGTTAAGCAACAAGTTACTGAGATGTTACTCCCCACGTCCCACCTCATGTACCACATGTGGTGTGTATGACAAATAAATCTCTCTGAATCTCTAACTGGGTGGGTGCAGCACCGAAGTTAATGATGAATCATGTGTTTCATTCTTTAGAATCATTTGGCTTCATAAAAAATACTTTTCAGTGTTTTTTTTTTTGCCTCAACCACACCTCAATGCCTCCTTTTCCCTCTTTTCTAACAATACACCACCAACCAACCTTTCAACACCACCTCCTGCTACTCCTCCTGAAGACCCATTCGCTACGACAGAGGGAAGTACAGATATTGCTCCAGAGCTGGACCTGTTTGCTATGAGGCCTTCCAACACGGAGGCCAATACCGCCACCACTCCTCCCACCTCTAGCGAGGCGCCGACCACCATCGCTCCCATCGCTGCTCCCTCTGCCCCTGCCCCTCCTTCCACCACTACTACCACAGCCGCCACTGACACCACCACCACAGAGTCTGCAGCCGTCCCGACTCTAGATATCTTTGGTGGTAAAGTCCTCATTCTGCCTCTAACTGCATCCCTGCATTTTGACAATGAACCTGATAACAAAGGTTGTGATTAATCTTTATGTGTTGCTCTTGTTACTAATGATGATGATGATGATAGTAACAATGATGATTACGAGACAAGCCCCTGCATTACAGCTTAATTTTCTACTCTCCATAATTACTCTGCTGCTCGATTAGAGTTTATCAAACATTTTGACTGCCTCTGTAGCAATCAAAAAATCTGAATGGAAACAACAATCCCCAACGTGGTAGTTTTTTTTCCATTTGAGTGCCAACAGTTTAGTATATTTGATCTTAAAAGGGACATGACTATTTTACTATTTTCTAACAGAGGTGGCTCAATTTGTTTTGATTATTGATGAAATACTAACAAACTACCAAAATTTATTGGAAGAAAACAGTTTTCTTCTGCTGTTTGTTAATAGTGTTATTGATACTTTTTAATAGAGAATGCTTTATTGTAGCCTTTGCACTTTAGTTAAAAGGGAATATTGCTCAATCTCAGAATTTATGCTCAAAGTGATTTTCTGTCAGAAGCTTTAGTTTCCTCGTTTACTTCAAAACATTAACAAATGAGATGGTTTGTTCAGTTGAGCTCATATTTGTGAGTGTGACAAAGGCTTTGTTCACTGCACGAGTTCGTATGATCTGAAAATAAGTTGCACAACATGACTTGTTTAACCACAACAAAAGTATAGTTCCATCACTTTTGTCCAGATGAGTTTGGCTTATAATGATGACCCATGAATGATAAATCTTGCTAATTTTGGTCAATCGGTGACATTTTCTCAAAAAACATAGGCACTTTTTGCAAACTTGAACGTTCAATCCTTAATTTTGAGCCACAAATTTCAAGTACCATCAAAATAACCTTTGATGGTAGTATTTTGAATTTAAATCTGTCCCTTCCAAAGAATGAAGAGTTTTACTTTTAAGATTTTAATTTTGTGTTTATTTCAACAAAAGACAAGAAGAAGATGATGGTACATCTGAGAGATCTGCATCTTCCTAACAAAGCAGCTTGCTGCTCCCTCCTAGGGTCGCCAACTGTTCATTAAAATAAGGAATCATTCATTATATGAAAAAATAAAATAAAATAAACATGCATTCCTTATTAGGTTGATAAGAAAAACACTTTGTTCCTTATTCTTAAGAGAAAGTGCAAATGTGCTTATAGATGAATGAAATTTTGTCAAAACCAGAGCTGAAGAGTCATGTTGTTTTTCAGCTGTGGGAGATATTAATTCAACACAAAACTATAGCCTACTTTGATTAAGTGGTTAAGTAGCTATGTAGTTTGTTGTTTAAGCTGCTTATTGTCTTTATATTTGAACAACTTTTCAAGTGACAGCAGAATTTGAACACAGACTTCGATCTTCTATGAATAAAGCCGAGTGTACTGAATGACTTCAGCTAGAATTTGTGGAAGAAGTTGAAACTGAGGTAAAGCTAAAAGAAACACTAACTAGATGTATAAAGTTACAAAATGTTAGCTAAAAGGAGCAAAAAAGCTAGGTAAAAGTATGGAGTCTTGCTAATAAAAGGCTGGCTGAAAGTAGAAAAACTAGTTTAAAGTATCACAAGGCTAGTGAAAAGCTTTATGTAGCAACATGCTGGCTAATAGCTTAAAGTTTCAAAAGGCTATAGCTAAAAGGAGCAAGACATTAGGTAAAATATAAATGTGGGAAATGGCAAGCCAAAATCTAGTTAACAGCTAAATGTATCGAGAGGCTAGCGGCTAGCTAGGAGCTAAACGTAACAAAAAGGATAGCTAAAAGTAATAAAAATCTAGCTATAAGCTAAATGGAACAAAATGCTAGCTAACTAAATCTATTAAAAGGCTACCTAACAGCTAAAAATAGCAAAAGGCTAGTTGAAATGAACAAAATGGTAGCTCCTGTCCAGTCAGTATTTCTTATTCAGTTTCTGAAAACTGGCAACCCTAGTTCCTCCACAGGATTACTAATTCCTCAACTTTTTATTTTGCCACTTTAGACAGATCAGCTGAATGTTAATTTATCCAGTACTAATTGAATTAGGACAAAATACATGTTTAAAAAAATTAAATTTCCCTGACTAACTGAATTCACGATAAACTAAAATAAACTAACACCAAGAACAACATGGCAACAATAAAGAAGTCACACAGCTGTGTGTGTGTTTGTTTGTGAAAAAAGGCAGCATCAGTTTTTGAGGTAAATTCATAAATATTATCTTGGCTAACTTTGAAACATTTCAGACAGAACTTTAAAAGCACAAGAAGACCCACGTCTTCATCTACGAAGCAACAATTTGACAGACGAAAAACAGAAATGAGTAAAAGTGGTTCATATCAAAGTAATATTCCCCTTTAACTTTGCACTGTCTCCTTTTGCATTGCACTGAAGAGTTACACAGCTGCTTATACATTTATTATTTAAACAAAATGCTCTTTTTCTTCATCCCTTCTCTTAACTCATCCTTCTGAATGCGCCAGACTTGAAATCTGAATGTCCATGTGGTTGTCTGTCCTTGTTCTTAGATATGTTTGATTCTATGCCTGAGCAAAGCCCCACCACAGAATCCAAAGCTGCTACCACTCCTAGCGTAGACCTTTTTGGTGCAGGTACAAGAGTTGATATCCATTTCTCTGTGTGTGGAGCCTCTCCGTCTCCTCTGGTTTCTAAATGTCCACTCTTGTGTCAACTGTTTTTCCGTACTCGTCCTGGTTTGTCCCCCCCACCCATAGTGGTATGAGAAATGTGCATGCAACCCACTCGTCAAGCACCGGATTGTTGTTGTGGCTTCCTTTGTTGTGTTTCGATCTGCCACGCTAACGTTTTTCTTTGCTCCTTAATCTCCATGGTTTTCTTCTTTCTCGTATCCTGCCTCTTTGCTTGCGCTGGTAAATTAGACCTTCCTGCTGTTTCACGCGGGCCCTCTCCGTTGCCCGAGCCGGCTCTGGCTGGAGACATTGTGACGGGTGAGTTTTGCTGCTTTATATTTACTGCATCACTGTTTTCCACTCCTTCCTCTATGAGGCGTGCAACCCGACAAGTTCTATTTATTATTTGGCATGGCACTGATGTCTGTATGCACATGCAGACCTCTACTTCCACGTGGTGCACGCTGCAAGGAGGTGGATACACAGTCATGATGCAGGAATGCTTGCTTTCTCCTCCTGCTTGCATGAGTCCCTCAACCTTTATACACAAGCGGAATAACCCAACATACATATCTTCCAAGAATTTAAATTGGAATAGGAAAGTAATTATTTAGGTGTAATGTCCTTTTGTTTTTCTCTCTGGTTCAGATACGTTTTCATCTCCTGCTCCCACTTCTGCCCCAGCTTCTCCTCCAGCACCAGAGGCCTCGTCTCCACCAGAGCCAGAACCAAAACCAAAGCCAGTCATCGACCTGCTGGGTACTGTACAACCAAACAAACGCACAAGAGAAGCTTAGTTATTATGTTCTCTTACAATAAGATTCTGGTGACCCATTCAATAACAATAGGAATTTATCAAGTCAAATATAGTACAAAAGCATTCTACCTGTCTCCGTTTTACATTCGCCTGTCGAAGGCACGTGTGTTATATGGTACAGTCTCTGTCCATGCGTCCGTAAATTCTGATCTGCTCAAGATATTTTAACAAAGCTTCACACACTTACGCTTCATCACTAGGCAGAGTGTCTTGTGCACTTGACATCGCCCCAGCTTCAAGGTCAAGATCACAAGCCAAGGTCAAATTTGAAATAGGGTTTGTTGTATGGCCCATAACTTCCGATCCGCTCAAGATAGTTTAATAAAACTCGACACAAATTTGTACCACTACTACATGGCATGCTGTGAATTCTTTTCATCTTGCCAGCTCTAAGAGCAATGTCACAAATCAAGGTCAAAGGTTATACAAGGTCTTTGCTTGTCTTGGCCAATGCTATAGATTGCTGTATTGCTGTATAGCAGTTTGCAGAGGGGCGTATAATGTGCCGTATGGATACTCTTGTATCCTACAACTCCTAGTTTATGTGTTTGTGTGTTTACATATACAGCACATTGTATAATTTACTATTCGTACACTATTCATAGTACCATCAGGTCTTTTGTCACCACACTTCAACAGAAGTACTGTTAGCATAACCTCTATCAAGCTTCAAGTATGTGGTCCAGGACTGACCTCTCATGCCTTCTTGTCCTTCATGCTATCTTGTGGAAAACCGGATGATCTGGTAGACTCCTTCAGTGGCCCTGTGCAGACGACTCAGACTTCTGCTCCTGGGGGGCCAGGAGACGACCTTCTGGGAGGTTAGACTCCACTCACTCTCATGTTTCATGAAAACCATTATTAAATTTAAAAACTGGGTCCCCTAAAAAGTTTAAAGTAGTAGTCAATAAAATGTTTATGCTGATTTAAAAAATATGCATTATTCAATTTTGTGACACAAAGTTGGCACGTGTGATTACATGAAGTGCACTGCAGTTCTAAAGAGGCTCATTTGGAAAAGCCTGCACCGTGCACCCTCCTGTCAACGTTCTGCCTGTAGCTTGGCCTCCTCTTTTTATTTGTTCTTTAATAGTTGATGAGTTTGAATCACAGTTTTACATTAGCTGCTCAGAAACGCTACGCACGCTTAAGATTTTCATCATTACGTTTTTTTACAGCATTCTGTTTACATTTATTAAACAGTTTGTGCGCACGCATTGCAAACAGTGGCTGTGGAAAATGTTTTATTTTTTAAAATGTGTGATGGGTCAAATGTTTTGAAGTGGAAATCTGTGGAAAGGTTATGATTCATATCTTACCTGTTGTAAATATCTCTTTGATCGACCTAAGTTTGGAGAAAAGCAGGTTAGATCTGACAGATTCACGTGCTAAGAGCTAGTCCATGGGGGACCAAGACCAAAGTTGAATGCTCTCACTTAAAAAGAAGATCCAATTAAAAAAAGGTTTAAAGTGTATCATGTAAACACTACTTTCTGAACCTGAAATACAAGTTTATGAGCTACTCCAGTCTCACAGAATGGTTAGTGTTATTACCTGGGAGTTGGAAGGTTTTCAAGTGGCATAAATGTGTTGTTCTGCCTGTATAAATGGTGGATAGGCTTTCTGTTCTTAATTGCTTAAAGGTTTCCATCCATCCATTATCTTTTACCCGCTTCTTCCTTTTCGGGTCACGGGGGTCACTGGCGCTAGAGCTGTCATTTCTAACCCGAGCCCGAAGCCCGGTCCAGGCCATAATAATGTGTTTAATGTGCGGGCCAGGCTGGTCTCGGGCTTTGATGAGGTTTTACGAATCATACAGCAGAAATAAAACTAAATAAGAATGCACAATATAAAATTGTGTTAATCTACTTGTTGAGGAGGAGGCAGGTCCGACCGGCCGGGTTAAAGAGGTAAAAAACCAGTTCAGTTAAACTTCAGATGGATTTGCTGATCACCGGCCGTGCGCGTCTCCACACCTGCTGTCATCTACATTGAAGGAAGTAGCAGCATCTACAAAAGCTGAAGCGAGCAGCACGTTCATTTAAAATAACCTTGTTCTATATTTTTCCAAATAATTTTGCTCTAAAAATATTTTTGTTCATCTGTATAATAGTCTCTCTTTAGAGTTGATTTTTTAGTCTGTTCATTTCGTATGTTTATATCCATTTGGTGAAACAAGAAATCTTGCATCTTCCTTTCTTGGAAATATGTTTTTAAAATATCATGCCAAACTGATTTGCTTACAAAAACAGTTAAAGCTTAACAACAAAAACAAAAGTCAGGTTATTTTTTTTTTTCGGGTTCGGGCCTGTAATTACGGTTAATCTGTCGGTTTTGGATCGGGCTCGGAAAATATAACACGGGTTCGGGCCGGGACGGAATTTTTAGGCCCAAATGCAACTAACTGGAGCTCATATCCACCAGTCACTGTGCGAGAGGCGGGGGACACCCTGGACAGGTCTTCTGTCCATCACAGGGACACATAGAGACAAATGAGACAAACAACCATTCACTCTCTCACTCACACCTAGAGACAATTTAGAGTTACCAATCAGCCTAACATGCATGTTTTTGGTCTGAGGGAGGAAACTGGAGCACCCGGAGAAAACCCACACATGCACAGAGAGAACATGCAAACTCAACCCTGAATGATCCCTCGGCCAGAATTAAATCCGACAACCTTCTTGCTGAGAGGTGGCAGCTCTACCAACTGCAACACCGTGCCGCCCTGTTTAAAAGTTTAGTTTCCTCAAATTATTTTTTAGGGGACAATCTCAGTTTTCCAAAATTATGGGATTTTATGAACGTGACTTAGGCTTTCCATCATAAACACCGTAGCTGCGGCAGCAGCTAGCTGTAACACTTCCAATACAACCTGGTGCACTTCCTGCTACAATATCATACAATCTTTGCCAGAATCCTTAATGTGAAACTGATGGTGGGTAAAATGCTGGTATACATTCTCAGCCATGTAGTTCATGATGAAAAAAAGTAGAAACAAAACAAAAAAAATTGACCTCTGTTAGTCAGTTGAAGACATTTTATTTGGTTTTATAATTTTCTTTTTAAATGGTAGGTTAAGGCTTGTAAAATAGCATTTGCATAAACCTCTATACAAATTAGAGATTGAACTGTTTTAGGAGAGAAGTCTATTTGGTCTTGGCCTCACTCCGACTGACTATTAGCCTCTTGTTACAGTCAAGACAAAATTATTTCTCTTCAAACTGTGGTAATTCAAACAGGTAAAATATTATTTGTTCAAAAAACTTTCCATTTAACTAAGAACACTTAGTTGTTTCCACGACTGTGGGCTTTGTTTGCAAGAACAAAAACTACAACAATGTCTGCTGAAAGTAGTGCGGTAGATGATTAAGTTATAAAATATAATTGTTACTGTCCTGTATTAGTTGAGACATTTCCTCAGCTTCTCATCTTTTGAATATCTACCTGCTCCTGTCCCTTCATCTCTCTGTTGGTACTATTTCAAACTTTTTTTTAAATAATAAGATCCAGTGATGTAACAGCATGCCATTAAGTGTGTCAGCCCTTCAGCCTATAGTTTGAGCTGTGGGTGTGATGTCCCTCAGGCCTGATCTCCCCCACGCTTGCTCCCAGCGCTGCCCCGGCCCTGGCTCCGGCCTTGGCTCCGATGCAGAACAACCTCCTGGAGACGGGTTTTGATGCTTTGGGCTCCATTTCAACACCACCGGCCTCTGCGGTTCCTGGAGCTCCAGCTTCAGCAGCAGAACCTGCATCCTCCACACCAGCACCCTCTGGTGGCTTTGATGCCTCGAGTAAGTAGCTCTTCAGTTTGTTTTATGGAAGAAGTCTTTTACTTCATGCTGCTCTGTGAAATGTAAAAACAAAAATAAACATGTTTTGCCCATAAATCTTCATCTTGATGCACTTTGATCTGATCTGCTTTATTTAAACCCAGCTATCTGTGCAGCAGACCTACGTAATCTTTTTTTTTTTGCAGACAGCTTAACTTGTGCATGACTGAGGCACCAAGACACTGCTGTCACTGGTCTCCTGACGTTAAACTGTTCTTTCTGCTGACTGCGTCTCTCCTCGGCACTACTGCCTTTGTTGCACTGATTCTTTCTCTTCAAGCACTTTCACAAATGCTGTGCTTTCCTTTCTTTCTCTCTTCCCTCCCCTCGGCTGTCCACCTTATCTCTTCTCACCTTTTGCCACCATCTTCCTCCCCCTCTCATCCACGCCCCTTCCTCTCTGCTGGGCCATTGCTTGCTTCTTCTAATCTGTAAATGGTGAGTTTGACTCTGCAGGCATTGTAGCATGTGCAGTTTGGATGGCTTCCCCTCTTTATGTGTTTTAAGGACTCTTCAGCTTTGCATGCAGCAAAACACTGATGTTGCATGAAACAAGATATTTTACTGTTTTTTTTTTGTTTGTTTGTTTTTTTGCCCATAACCTTTTAAACAGGAGCTACATGCCATCAATGCCTGTTGTAACACGTTCAGATCTAAATTTGTCCAGTAGTTTTTGCAAACTACAGGTTCAAGCTATATAATTTTAGTAGCCAATACTTGGGTTTAGCACATGCTAATGTACCAAAAAGCCTTTAAAATAAAAATGATAATTTATGCTCATCGTTGCACCAAGTATGTAAGAAGTGACATGAGGTGACTGAGAAGGACCTGATGGATTTGACAAAAAATCCTAACGAAGAATTTCATACACATTGACAACAAATGTTAGGCACACAAACAGAGTCATAAAAATCAAATGTAACTGCATGTATTGAAAGAAAATGTGACTGTAACAGCAATTAATTTGAGTTGCCAGCACTGGCACACTGCTGGTCCCGTCTCAGTAGGGTGTGGCACCCCCTCAGGTCTTATAAGAGCAGGAGAGCGATACAGAACTCTGTTGTCCAGCCTCTGTATCTTCTCCTGCGGTAAGTCAGCCCACAGCTGTTGGAACTGGTCCTTTAAATCTGACTGAGTGCTGCTGGGTCGAAGATGATGTCTGAGCTGATTCCACATATGTTTGACTGGGGATAAATCAGGGACACTGGCTGATCAAAGGAAAACGTCAACATGATGAAGGCGGACCATAGATACATGCTAGTTGTGGAAGACTGTACCACCGTGCTGAGGGGTAAGACGTGAAGATGTTATTGACATAGCTTTGTGGCATCAGGGTCCCCCAAATCACCACAGGTGACATGAAGTCAGCTAAAACAACAATGCCAGGAGTAACACTGGTGTGTCTCTCTACAACATTAGCAGGATTGGTCCTCTCCCGTCCTCCTGCCATGCATGCAATTCTCATCCATGGCAATGTTAAACCAAGATTAATCACTGAACTCATCATCAATCCAGGTCTTATGGTTATATCACCTCTTCAAATGCAGCCATATTTGCTCAGGTGTTGAGCATCAGTCTCCAGGTGGGATTGTGAAGCTGTAGTCTGGCTTCAGGTGTTGAGACACGATGCAGGATGACATGGGGAGTTGTAAGAAGTGCAGTACCTGGATCTGTATGGAAGGTGCAGATTCACAGGAGTTCCCTAATTATTGGCACATTATACAACAATCCTAACTGTGGTCTGTCTTGGGTAACTGGAATTGTCACAAAATATGTGGGTCTACTCATGTACCCATTGGGTGGAACTTTAGGCTCCAGTGACATTTGTATGCCCCACATGCAAAGCGTTTTCACAATAATTCAATTGAGTTTATTTACAGTGTATAGCACCAAGTCACAACAGAAGTCATCTCAGAACACTGAACAGAAACATTCATATATAAAAATAATAATTTAACACTATTTATCTGAGGAGCAGACTGCTTTGAATTTAACTCCATCACAGAACTCTCATCTTGAGCAAACATGAAGGCGACAGTGGAAAGGAAAAACTCCCTCATGAGGAAGAAACATTTAGTAGAACCAGGTTCAGGACAAGAGGCCATCTGCTTCGACCAGCTGGGTTTGAAAGGAAGAGCAAGGAAGAACAGATACACAATGGCAGGTCAAAAATCACATTAAGATAGAAATAATTTCAAATGAAAACTATTAAATTTTAACAATTCATTTAAGGAAATTAGGTAAATTTGTCGGCAGCACGGTGGTGCAACTGGTAGAGCTGCTGCCTCTCAGCGAGCAGGTCCCTGGTTCAAACTCCGGTCCAGGGGCCTTTCTGGGTGGAGTTTGCATGTTCTCTCCGTGCATGCGTGGGTTTTCTCCGGGTACTCCGGTTTCCTCCCACAGACCAAAAACATGCATGTTAGGCTGATTGATAACTCTAAATTGTCCCTAGGTGTGAATGAGAGAGTGAATGGTTGTTTGTCTTGTTTGTCTCTATGTGTCCCTGTGATGGACTTGCGACCTGTCCAGGGTGTACCCCGCCCCTCGCACAGTGATTGCTGGATATGGGCACCAGCGACCCCCGTGACCCAAAATGGAATAAGCGGGTAAAGATAATGGATGGATGGATGGAGGTAAATTTGTCCTCTAGTAGTATAAGCTTAAGGCAGCACAACAAGCCAACCCTAACTATAGGATTTATCTAAAAGGAAAGTCTTAAGCCCAGTCTTAAAACTGGACAATGTGTCAGCCTCACGGACAGAAACTGGAAGTTTGTTCCACAAGAGAGGAGCCTGATAACTGAAAGATCTTCCTCCCATTCAGCTTTTGGAAACTCTAGGAACCGCAAGTAAACCTGCAGTCTGAGAGCGAAGTGCTCTGTTAGGAAAATATGGAACAATAAGATCTCAACTATAAAATGGAGCTAGGTCGTTGAGAGCTTTGTAGGTTAGAAGTAAGATTTTGAATTCAATTCTGGATTTGACAGGGAGCCAATGGAGAGAAACTAAAACTGGAGAAATATGATCCCCCCCACTAACTCCAGTTAAGACTCTGGCAGCAGCATTTTGGATCAACTGAATATTTTCTAAAGAAGCATTTGGACATGCAGATAAACCATTGCAATCCAGTCTAGACGTGACAAATGCATGGACCAGTTTTTCTGCATCATTTTTAGACAAGATGTTTCTAATTTTAATGATATTATGCAGGTGGAATAAGGAGGTTCTAGTAACATTTTTAATGTGGGGGATAAAAGACATGTCTTGATCAAAAATAACACCAAGATTTTTAACATTAGAGCTGGAGGCCAGATTAGTGCCATCCAAGGAGGGAGAAAGACTGAAAATTTTGTTTCCAAGATTTTCTGCAATAACACCAATATCAATAGCTCAGTAACGCCACCCAGCTTCAAGCAAACCCACATTATGACTCCTATTGAAGTCCTTCAAAAGCTGGTAATGCTGTTTAACAGGTCACAAAGGCATCCTCTGTGTCTGGTGGTGTTTGTTAGCCATTTTGGCTGGCTTTTGGATTATACAGCAACTGCCTGATGACACCAGGGCTTCTCTTGTGATGCTACTATAGGATGACATTTTTTCAGGAGTTCTGCGGGTCACGGGATTCCCGCAGGATTCTGGCAGGACAGGAGTCAACTTTAATATAACTCACAGGATTGGGATGGGACAGGACAAAAAGTTAACAGGACCAGACAGGAGTGGGAACCAACCAATAGGACAAAGAAAAAAACTTTGGACAGGCGCCACTATTTTGTACTTTTCTTTCAATAAACCTTCACTCTGGAACACCAGACCTGCAATGATCCAGTCTGTAAATGATGCTCTGAAGTCTGGTAAGCTGCACGACATCCTGCTTCACCAAAACAAGCTCGTTACCTCAACTACATAGATTGTGAACTTCTTGAGGATGTCGTCCAATGTATAATAATGCCTTTAAGCATTTTTATTTGTTGAGTTTTCTTGCTTGGTACTTTAAAAAAAAAAAATTCTTTAAACAATTTAAAACATGACAGTAATGGCACAGTTTAAAGGAAACATTTGCACAATGCATTTGTAAAATGTAACTTTATATGTTATGTCTGGGTTCATGGTGTGACCCATGTACTGTTGTTTTTTTATTTTTTGATTTACTGTAACTGACCTCCAAAAGAGCTAGAAACAGGGACTCAGCAGCTGATCCTCTGTAGAAAAACTATAGGAACCATCCATCCATCCATCCATCCATTTTCTTTACCCGTTTGTTCCATTTTGGGTCACGGGGGTCGCTGGTGCCCATGTCCAGCAATCACTGTGCGAGGGGCGGGGTACACCCTGGACGGGTCGCAAGTCCATCACAGGGACACATAGAGACAAACGAGACAAACAACCATTCACTCTCTCATTCACACCTAGAGACAATTTAGAGTTACCAATCAGTCTAACATGCATGTTTTTGGTCTGTGGGAGGAAACCGGAGTACCCGGAGAAAACCCACGCATGCACGGAGAGAACATGCAAACTCCACCCAGAAAGGCCCCTGGACCGGGGTTTGAACCAGGGACCTGCTCGCTGAGAGGCAGCAGCTCTACCAGTTGCTGCCCCTATAGGAACCACACACATCATATTTTCATATTAAGAAACAGATCCAGATGACATGATTTAACCATTTTGTTGTTATCTACCTGGATTATTGAGCTTACAAACCTTTTTTTTATAGGGACTACAGACCAAATATTATTTGTTTTGTGCCCTTTAGTGAAGGTTTTTTTTTTTGGGTTAAGGTAATAAATGTCTCTCTCTCACCACAGATGAACTGTTCCTGTTGACAAATATTTTGAAATAAAACTGCAGAACACAAAGTAATATATAAAGGAATGAGTAGAAGATTAAATCAAATTCAATGTATTTCCTAAAGACTAAATGGAAGAGAAAAAAACAGGAGCGGTTTAGAAGTGGGAATGATTCGGACTGGGAGCAGGATGGGAGCAGGAGTCATGTTACCAGGAGTGGGACAGGACAGGAGTTTTTTTTTTTTTTTTTAACTCTGGACCAGGATTGGGACAGGACAGTATTTTTTCTGTGGGGCCAGGACAGGACAGGAGTGAAAATTCACTCCCGTGTCATCCTCTAGATGCTACTATAAACACACTCTGGTTCTAGATGTGTCATCTCTTTACTTAGGTTGGGACCAACTTCCTTATAAAGGCAACATGAAGCATTATTATTATTTAAACACTGCTGGTGTAGATGATTAAAAATGAAACCTTCTGTCAGTTTGGCCTTGATGACACCCAGCTCATTATCTCTGTTCATGTGTGTCCACCATGTTAAACCTGAACTTGGGGGCAGCTGGCCACGTGAGTTGCTATAAATGTGTGCCTTTGAAAGCTCAGTCATATTTACAGTCCAATCTGACATTGCAGATTCCATCTGCACAGCTGACTGCTGCCACAGCTGGAATCCCCCCCCCTCCCCCACACACACCACCACCATACCGCCTGCGTTCACATCTGCCCTCTGCCTGTGTTAGCTGGATTAGTCAGTGCAAAGTTTGTAATCAGGTTTTGATGTTTTTTCCCCCCTCCAGTGTTTGATGGATTAGGCGACTTGCTGATGCCCGCTGTAACGCCTCAGAGCACCGGGGGCAGCACATCTGGAAGCACAGCTGGCAGCATGGGAACTCCAGTCGCAACTGGAGGGATATCACTCATCCCCCCCGCCACTCCGCCTCCCACCAAAACCATCGGGGGAGATCTGGACTCGTCCCTGGCCAATCTGGTTGGAGGTACACTGCAGCTTCTTGAACAACTCAAATCTTGTTCTTTTTAAAATCACAGACGTCAGAATTAATTAGATTTGTTTTTCTTTTATCTGTTCCAGATCTGGGAATGAAGAAAAAGTAAGTGATAAAAGTGTGAAAGCTGTGAGGCTCATGTGTATGTGCTGTTGGTCAGACTACATATTGGCTTTTATAATAAGATTAGCAAATAGATATAATAAGGCAGAGCTGTTAGTCTGTAAAAATATTAATTTAGGACAATTTTAGGAGTTTACTTTCTGTTTATGTCCCAAATATTGAATATTATTTTATTTTTGAGTTAGTTAAACCCTTGGCCAACAGATAAAGTAGATTTTGGCTGATTTACAGTGTATATATTCCACGTTTCCCACAGGAGTAAAGATGGAAAATATTTTTACCAATATGCTCATAAATATGAAAAAGAAACATTGAAAATAACTGTGTTTGGAAATTACATGAGGGATTGATGTGAAGCTCACTTGCACATAACCTAATATGCACTCTGCTTTTTGATCTCTTTTAGGGACCCACTCAGTGAGAAGAAGCTGACAGGAGGAGCCAACTGGACCCCACAGGTGGCCCCTACAAGCTGGGGCACTCCTGGAGCCACCATGGTGAGAACTGCAAGGACAGCTTCAAAATAAAAGACTCAAACTATCAATCTTTAGACATCACAAACATTCAGGACACAAGTTGTATATTTTGTTGGCCCCATACCGTAATTTCCAGACAATTGAGTGCACCTGAATTTAAGAGGCACCCATTAAATAAGTTAAATAAATTGTACATATATAGGCCACACTTGTCTATAAGCTATGGGTGTCCACATTGTAACATGAGATATTTACACAGAAAGATTTTTTAAAACTTTTAATTAAATATGTACCAGTAACATACACAAATACATACAGGAAATGTTTTTGTTTCTGAACAGTGCTTGTAACACGGCTGCTTTAAAAAAAGTAAATACAGTAGCCTACTAGGAAGTCATTGATTGTTTTCTTCATCTCAAATGCGCTGCGCCCTTGAGCTTATGCTTTCGAGTGGCTGCAAATATTTTGTTGGGGGCACAATGGGTGAGGGAGGATAGACAGGAATTGGTCCACTCCCTGTTCTTTCCTCCCTTCCACTGGTTTCATTGGTCCACCATGACCTGTTTGGTAATTTCACTGGTCAGATTTTTTTTTTACCTTTATTTATACAGGTAGCCTCATTGGGTCATGAGGACCCACCCATGAAGAGACGTAGCTATGTGAGGACCTGGGTGTGATGAGGCTAAATGTTTTGATAGCATGAAGTTTGTTAGCTTGTCAAAAAAAAATAAAAAATCCATTAATGAGCCGCAGCATTGTATAAGCCGCTGTGTTCAAAGTGTGTGAAAAAAGTAGCGGCTTATAGTCTGGAAATTATGGTAATGATAATGTCAAAGTTTGTTTTAGAATTATTCTGGTAATGAGTGACATCTGTTTGTGTTTTTAGGCCCCTGCAGCCCCTGGAGCCCCTGGAGCTCCAGGACCAGCTCCGCCCAGCGCAGCTTTGCTTCCACCAATGGGTGCACAGCCTGGCTTCGGCATGGTGAGTTCTCTCTGTATTTATACAATTTATTAACAAAAACAAACTGTTGGTTAGCTTTAATTAAAACTTAAGAAAACAGATAAATCTGTTATTAAAAAATATATACTCATTCGTTCCTTCCCAGCCTCCTGCAGGAGGGCCGGGAGCACCAATGATGCCACCCATGATGGGACAGCCTTTGATGGGGCAGCCAATGATGAGGCCTCCCTTCATTGGGGTGGCTGGAGCTGCTGCACCCGGAGCACCGGTAACACACCACACAACAAAACAACATGCAGGATTGTTTGTCATTCCAACATTTTTCAGTCAGGTCATCTGGGCAAGTTTCTTTTTTTTGTGCTGAAATGTTTCACCTTCCATCCAGAAGGCTTCATCAGTCAAGGAAACACACAACACAAAACTGATTCTTCCCTCACCAGCTTACTCCAAAGTGGAACAAACCAGTTACGTTGGTGCTAAGATGGTGTCTTTGGCATGCCCCCTCCTCCGGTGCTGGCCCTCTCTCTCGTCGACAGTCATGTCAAACTGGGTCAAAAACAAAAAAGTCCATGCTCATTGTTTGTCAGATAAAAAATATATATATATATATAATAGATCCTCTATTATGAATTTAATCTGTTCCAACAGTTCATATAAATATTGAAAATGTACATTTTTAACTTTTTTTTTTTTTTTACATTAAAAGTAATGCAAATAATTTCAGCGCCACCTTGCTCCTGCACAAGAACTTGCACAGCCTTTCCGTAACGGTTGACAATATGGACATTAAAAAAAAAAAACATTAAAATGAAGCAAAATGGCATCACTCATGTCATATTTAAAGTCAGAGAGTACAAATCTGTTTTACGAGACTTAAAAACACTTAAAGGAAGTTTCGGTGCTACAGCTGAAAAAGCTTAAATCTCCCTGTGGACTAAACTGGACCTTGGACCAACTAAAAATAAATGATCATCAGATCTGAAGGATCTGGGGGTCACAAGGCTGCAGAAGCTCAGACAGGTTTAAGGAGCCTGTCCATTTAGGGCCTTATAGGTCAGGAGTTCCCAAACTTTTCCATGCCATGGCCCCCAAACAGCATTAGCTTCTGGCCAAGGCCCCCCTCGCAAATCCACAAACAATGTTAAAAAATATGTAAAGAAACATTAATTTTTAGAATGTTTTAACTTTTATTCACTATATTCAATTAATTATTACAGCTGCTGAGCATAAAAATGTTATTAACTAACATGTTTTAAACACTGTACTTTATTCCCACTGAAAAAAAACAACTTCAATCAATCAATCAATCAATCAATCAATCAATCAATCAATCAATCAATCAATCAATCAATCAATTCAACTTTATTGTCCCTAACATTCAATGAAATGGAGATTTGTCTTTGACGTCTGCTCATAAAAGCAACACAAGTTAAAAATGTCATAAAAAAACTTTAAAAACTTTAAAAAGCTTTATTAACTCAGTTAAAAACATTCAGTTAAACCATTCTAAAATACACAATACATTAAAACATATATGTCAAACTCAAGGCCCGGGGACCAAATGTGGCCCTCGTTGACCTCTGGCCCCAAGATGATATGTGAAACGTAAAATACTTCTATCTCGTTAATTTTTTCAGTAATCTTTGATTATCATGTTGAAGGCACAACAGAGAACATCTAATGAGACCGATCAAACTCTTGTTGAGGAACCTGTGACCAAGAAAATATGTCGGGTTCTGATTGGAGTTAATGTAGTTTCTGGAATTGGCCCTTAGTTTGAAAAATGTTTTAATTTTGGCCCCCTTTTGTAATTGAGTTTGACACCCCTGCATTAAAATATGGAAACATCCCAGCAGACAATGGTTTGTTATGTGAGGCTGTGTTTAAATAGGACCTTGTTAAGTACATTCACCACAGAGGGAACAACTTTTCAACAAACTGTTGACCAGAAGAACAGAACAAAAGAAATCGAACCTCGCTCTCTGTTTATCTGAAAATGACAGATACAGATTGCCCTAGTGGGCAATTTTATTATTATTATTCCTATTTTTTATTTTTGCTTTTTTAAAAAAAAAAATCTTATTCTCTCCAGTGTTCTGGGGGCCCCTAGCGCCCCCTGGTGGCCTCACAGGGGGCCGCAGCCCCCACTTTGTAAAGCACTTATAGGTCATCAAACCTTAGAAGAACCTTTCAGCCATAGAAGAGAAGCCAGCACCGGGGAGAGATGTTCAGGGGTTTTAATTTGTGTTAAAAGACAAGCTGCTGTGTTCTGAACCACAATACAGAGTTATAGCAGTTCAGCTAGGAGGTAATATGAACAACATTATTTTAGATACAAGTCTTTTTTTTTATTTACAACAGATCTAATCTGTTTTTCAAGGGGAAAATAGGAATTATGCATCAGAATCAGCTTTTATTGTCATTGCACTGAAGCACAACGGAATTGCATTTTCATTACAGCCCGTCAAAGAACAACATAAACAACTGACATGGGGAGACAGAGGTGACTAAGGCTGCTGCCTTGGGAGGTGCAGCCTTATTTTCAGATTAGGAAAAAGAAACACGAGGGGGTGGGTAGAGCCATAGTCCTGTTAAGAGGTGTTTGTTTATCAGCCAGCTCAGTTGAGCTCTGACACAGGTCCACGTCATTGGGGAGGGAAGGGGATGAGAAGGGGATCAAAGCATCTTGTTTCCATAACATCCAAGGATAAATTGATAGTCAGCCTTCCAAGGCCAGAGCCTGATTCAGATTTAACATTGTTTTGGGTCAGGCTGAGCTTTTTAATTTCCACATCTGCCTTTAACAGTCTTGGTAGTACATCTCATGGCAACTCCAAACAGCCGTATTGTGATTAATTAAGTCGGGCTTACAACTTCTCCAAGATCTCTTCCTTCCAACCATCTGTGAACACTGTCAGAAGTTCCACAGTCCTGCCTGCTCAGCTCTGATACAGGTCCACAGATAGTTTGCACAGAGTCTGAGTGTTGCCAACCCCAGCACACACATTCCAGACAGCTTAAACAGCTGCTGACATTTACAGATTTGTCATTAATCCAGATTTCCACCATCTCCAAAAAACAGAATCCAGTTATCATAAATTCAGTTATGTTTCCGAGATAAGAGAGCGCTCCGTCACCCTGTCTTCTTGAGAAAATTTGATCAATTGCGTTGAGAGACCAGCTGAACAAATCCATAGTTTACAATTCGGAAGGTATGCAAAAGGAGCTCTGAAAAAGTTCACAAAAACAAAGAGCAAAGCAGGGACATCGCAGAGGAGAGCTAGCAGGAAAAAAAATCTGATCATCAATAACCACCAGCATTCTTCAAACAGCTTGAGGCTGCATGAGAAGCGCTGCATTTTCTTCTGGGTCCCAAAATAATAACTTCAGTTTATTCACGTTGAAATTGAGCAAGTCTATAGATTTGTTCTTATTTAGAGGTTATGCTGTATTTAAAAGCTCTCACTTTATGAAGTCTCCATTCTGCCTGTTTTCTTAGATTTCTCCAGGACCTGCAGGTCAAAGTCCCAAAAAGCCCAAGGACCCTCTGGCAGATCTCAACCTCAAGGACTTCTTATAATGGCCCAGGTTTGTTGAGCCTGCATCGAAGCTGTAAAGTCTAGAGCAGGGCTATCAACTAAATTCATCAGAGGGCCTCAGTTACTGAAAGCCAAGAGCTCAGGGGCCAGACATCCAGCAGTTACTGCTATTAAGTGTTTGTTTTATGGTTTAAAATCTAGTTTTATTTAAAAATTAACCCACTGAAGGGCTGAACTGAGTTTACTTGTGGGTCTGATTTGGGCCCCGGGCCACCAGTCACTAGACTCTAATGGTTTAAAACTTGAATTCTGGGACATCCGTCCATCTGATTTTTATCACCTGCTCCTTCCAGTTTAGCTTCATGGGGAGGTTGTGGCATTTTACAGGGGTCACAAGGTCAGATGGCAAGATAAAACCTGAGACTGTGATAGTTTAGACCAGGGCTATTCAACTGGCGGCCCGCGGGCCACTTCAGGCCCGTGGGTGACTTCAGTCTGGTCCACCAATGAATACATAAAAATAACACAT